TGATGAGTAAACTTTGCTTGGGGCAAGTGAAAAACATAATTTGCTCGTCTCTAGAGTACAAGTACGTTTTCTGACCCAACTATTTTTCAAAACAATCAGTTTAAGTTTTAACATCGTCATTCCCGATTAGCAGTATTTGTGAATTCCCTGAAAACTAACCACAAAGTTTAAGTCTTCATGTGTGTTTGGTATCCTTTTTTAACAGATATCATGCAGCGTGGTTTTGTAATCTAAATGCTTCGAATATTGTGATTGGATGCTATTAATAAACTGACCAATGAAAAAAATCATCACAGCATGAATGTTACTGCTGTCGAATCAGAATAAGCTTTATAAGGCCTAAAAAAAATGTTGTTCCAATTACCTGACCGACCCTTGAATTCTCGTGCCGACCCTATTTTTTTTTAGAAGGGTGAATAAATTATGCTTTCAGACCCCATTGTCTTTTTCCCGGCACCAACAGACATCGGTCATTCTGATAGAGAAAGTCAATATGATGGCTGCAATCTTGATTGAATAAACAATTACACATTAATATATGTGTTATTAGTTTGTACTTTACTCCTAAAAAAAGTGTGTAAAAACAAAAGAAATTCCGACCTAGTTTAGTTGAAACATATTATATTCACAATGTGAAAAGGATCGGGGACAAGTTCTTGCAACTTATTAAACCCCTCTCTAAGAATATTTACAATAACTAATTACATCACAAGCAATTATAAGAAACAGAGACAGAGAAAGACTGAAAGATAACACGGGAAATGTTATAATACAAAAGGTGTATAGAGAGAAGACTACTGGAATTCCGACCTACCTACCCTAAATTTTAAAGAGGTGTAATCAGAACCACAACATTTTGTTTTTTTGGCCTAATAGGGAATTTCCTGCTGGTTATTACTGATTGTTTATCGTTGTCAACTTTTCTTTTGGATGATGATTTGTTTTTATTATTGTATCAGGGGTGGAAATAACTTTAAAATTGCTAGTGTACTCCAGTACAGTGTAACATGGAAAATCACTTGCCCTGATAATTTTTGTGAGCTGGGGTATTCCGCTTTCTTGTTGATATTATCTAAATAAGCAACATAATTAACATTGGAAAGTCTGGGCTGTACAACACCGGTACAGTGTGATAAACAAATATTGCTTGCCCGAAAAGAAAAAAACAGTGGACCCCACGGACGCCGGGCAATGGGTTGATTTTCCACCCTGTATACATAGGTAATTTCCAGGTTAGATAAAATATTTGATATATTTTACCACTTTTACTTAACTGAAAATTTGATTAAACAAAGATTTTATACAGAAAACAATGTAAGTAATGTTTATTGTATGTATATTCCAAGCAAAGATTTTGAAAAAAAATAATTTAAATTTACATTCATTGTGTTGCATGATCTATAGGGCAAGTACAATTTTAGAAGGACGAGTGGAAAGTTCATACATATCGCCCTGCATAGTGAGTAGAGATTTTTGAATTTTTCGAGCCCTGAATTATACTTTGAGCAGCATAAACCCTCACACTAAATAGCAGACTTAAAAACGGCTTTCTGAAAGATTCATAATTCCCTCGTAACCCTGGTTTCTGCATACTGACGCTAAGTGTTAGATGCAATCTTCAGTAGCATCACACAGGAGTATTAATGGAAGGGAGACAGGTGTTGGAGAAAAGTCCTCAAATTCTATTTAACACGGGTTTGTCACTTAACATTGAAATATTTAACTAAATTTACAAAGCAAACTAGGAATTAGTTTTGCTGGTCTTGTCTATACAGACAGAAATTACAGTCTATTTTCTCATAAGGTTTGCAGCCATCGGCAGGAACAGCAAACTTCGTGTTTACATTCTTCATCTGCGTAATCTCAATTACCTAAACCAACATGGCTGGACAGTAATGGAAGGGGAGATTGGGAGGGGTGTGTGGTCCGGGGAGCATCTCAAAAGTACTGGCTTTGATTAAAGCTGTATCCTCTTTTTAAGCATAGAGCTTGGGTTGATGTTTTTTCAGTCGTATCGCGCCATGTTAGTCTGTGAACTGGAAGCCGGAATCAATGCTGGTTTTTTATATTTACCTAAGGGAACCAGCGACTATGGTATGGTGTTGACACCCCAAAATACATTATTAGGGCGTTGTGTGCAATACAATCAACATTGTCAATGATAAATTGCTTGATGCATTCAGAACAGGTGTGTTGCAGTGAAGTTATGAAAAAAAGAGTTTATGTTCGGAGGCGTGTCTCGAGAAGTCATTGAAGTTTTATTTTGCCTTGCGAGGTCAATGTCGAAGCACAAAGGTCTGATTTTAATAAGCACCAATTTGTGACTGAAATTCAAGCCTGTACAATGTTGATAAAACTGGTGACTGGAAAAGAAATATTATTTCATTGACATGACATTTATTGCATTCAATGATTGAAACAAAGTTCAGTATTCTAGGGCACATCATACCAGATAGACTACAGGTTTTTCTTCATTTTAAGTGAGTGAGTGAATATGGTTTTATGCTGCTTTTAGCATTATTTCAGCAACATCACGTCAGGGGACACCAGAAATGGGCTTCACACATTGTACCCATGTGGGGAATATAACCCGGGCCTACGGCGTGACGAGTGAACGATTTAACCACTAGGCTACCCCGCCGCCCCTCTTCATTCTGAGGCTTGGGATTTATTCAGAGGGGATTCCATCCCTCGCCTAGAAGTGCAGAGATGCCAACCACAACCGATTTGGGAGGAGTTACTCCTATTTTCAAATACGAAATCTGCTGTCCGATTTGTCTTTAAAAAACTCATTTTTTTTCATAAAGAATTCTGTAAAATGTTTTTACAGCATTCAATTTCGTAAGTCACCGGTGATTTCATTCGAGTCAACACCAGTAAAAGCATTCAGAAGCTTAGCGTGTGATCTTTTGGATATGGATTGTGTATATTGGGTGTTATTGACGACAAAGTTTCACTAAGTTTTTCCAAATGTATGTCATAGCCTGTATGTAAGTGAAACAAAATGGCGGTGCCGACCACGTGTTTACCCCCAACTTGCAGCTTCTGTGCTATGGCCTGACCTCCAGCCAGGCATGACACCACTTTCATTAGATTCTCATGCTGTTGATCACTGGATTGTCTGGTCCAGACTCGATTATTTACAGACCGCTGCCATATAGCTGGAATATTGCTGAGTGTGGCGTAAAACTAAACTCACTCACTCACTTCATTAGATTCAGGGTTGGCATTTCTCTAAGGAGACCAGGTTGGGATTCCCTCTCTTCTGCATATCTAAACCCTATTGGGATTTCCCTCTCTTCTCCATATGTTGATCCAGAAGGGATTCTATCCAGCTGTGGCTTGGTACCTCATAAGGATGAGAAAGCAGCAATAACTTGGTGCGCCTTGTGGCTGCAAGAGCTGTATGATCCCCAGGGAGTTGAGATTGATGATATGTTGTGCCGTTGAGACGGACATCCAATGATTGAGGGAAAAAACAGCACCTTGAGCATGTACTAGTTGCGTTGATATGTGCGCTATATATATATTCTATCCTATCCTATCTCTTCTCCATGGGTGAACCCACTGGGAATTCCCTCTCTTTTTTCATCAAGGGACCATATAGTGATTTTCATTCAGTTCAATTCCTCAAATTATTTATGTTTTTGACAGTTTTTGACACGGCCCCTCTCACCAATAGCCGTGTTTGTCCAGATTTGAAACCATCACCATGAGCCGAAATAGTCCCACTTCCTGGTCCGTCTTCATTCTTGTTTGTTTGTAAAGTGATAGCTCGTCAACACGGATCACCAACGCCAGCAGCAGGTTCCCAACATAAAGTTCAGCTTAAAACAATGCCTTTATGGAGGCAATCTCGTAATATGAAACTAGCCCAGAATCAACAAACTATTGCCTCGTCTTCTTCAAGTGATGCTCTCATAAAGACAAGGGTTAAGTGGGATTTGTATTGTGGAGAAATTATTGCTAATTCTAGACAGTATTCCCATAGGAAAAGACGACATGGCCCTGATGTGGAAGGCTTGGGTTGTGGAGGGTTGATCTTGAAAGGGAGTTTGGATTGTCATGGTTGTGCTTTTATTACCGAGATATTTCGCACGTGATTGTCATCACGAAGATATTGTGGTAGAAATCATTGACTTTGCTGTTGGACTTATCACGATATTTTGAAGTTAATACAATTTGGATAAAGGCCAAGGGTTGATCTTTGACTTGGTTTGCGGAATCCATTTTGTTGAGATTTTCGACTGGCTGAAGACAGAGGAGCGAGAGATTGTGTCTGTATGCGTGACAGTATGTTGGGGATGTAACTTTGGTTGGGGAACAACTTATCATGACTGAGAAACATTAACTGAAACAAAGTTTTAATGAACTTTTTTGTGTGATAAATTATAGTTTTGAAATGAAGTTTGAGTTTAATCATTTAGCTCACTGTGTTTTAGCATTAAGCTCAAATGATTAAGGATGTGGATGTTGTTTCCAGAGCTTTATTATTCTTTATTTCTTCATTAAACTTGTACAAATATCATTACACCATGAACTGGTACCTTTTGTTTTCTTGTTATCAAGGAGTTATTTTTCGCCTTACCGTCCAAAAGGAACTCGTGTTGTTGTCTGTTGATGTCTTACAACACCTTTTACATTTTTGACAGTTTTTTACTTTTTATCTGAAATACCTGGAAGAATTCAGCTGAGATTTTTTGTGTTTTATGAAGGAGATAATTTTGTTCAAGGCTTCAATAATGGAATTTCAATATGGCTACCAGGTAGAAGACCCGGGTTCTATTCCCCACATGGGCACAATGTGTGAATCCCATTTCTGGTATCCATTGCTGTGATATTACTGGAATATTGCTAAAAACGGCATAAAACTCATCTCACTCACTCACTCAGTACAACATGATGGTAGGGTTGGGGATATAAATATTTCATGCCTGTTGTGAATTGTTTTAAACCTTACATGCTTTTACTTAAAGGTTCCAATTTCTTTCTCTTTTTAGATTTTATTGAAAACAAAGGACCTTGTACAAGCGGTAAGTCTTTATTATTTTGATTGGCATACAGACATGTAAGAATTTGGTTGGATATGTAGGCATGAACGATTTTGTAAATAAAAACTTGTTAATCGTTGGAAAGTTTTTAACATGGAAAATGCAACATTTACAGAAAAAACTAAATTGCTAAAATAACTATTACAATTTGACTGGTCGCTCTCAAAACACTGTTTATAAATGAACCTTTGAGTCAAGTTGAGGTTTATTGTGTAGAATGTAGGGCAGGATGAAAAGATTGATAATCAGAAATGTTGTGGATGGGTGAAATTATTAATGATTATTATTTTTTTATATAAAATTGTGTCGTCAATAATCTGTACATTTAATATTGTGATGAAAAAAGTTTTAATGTTACTAAATGCAGCATTAAACAGTATTTATTTACTGTATAATCATCATTATTTATCGTCCAAAACTGTGTTCCACAGGAGATATTGCTTGTGTGAGATGAGACAATATCTCCAATTAGATATCGCTTTGACAGTAGATTTTGTACAATGCCCTGACAATGCTATGATGTCATGAACTTGATGACGTCACAATGTTATGACACCGCTGAACTGCGAGTCTAATGGCAGTACTGTGTTCAGAGATGTACATTTTTCATTGAAAACTAAAGACGTGTGATTTTTGATGATAAATAGAATCTCACCCTCGTGTCAACTGATATCAAATATATCAACACTTGTTGATAAAAGTAAAAAGGACACTTGCGCGAGATTCTCTATATATTCACGCATTCAGCAGGAAAGCTTATCACCTCTTTGTGAACATTGCTGGTATAGGACTCCTGACTCTTGCAAAATTATTTTCGTCTCATCAGCATGTAAGTACATCAATCCAAACCACGCTGTATGAACTTCTAATATTGCAGATGAACCTGGACGTCATCTACGGAGACACCGACTCCATCATGATCAACTCCAACTGCACCGACCTTGACCAGGTTTTCAAGCTGGGGAACAAGGTGAGATTCCGTGTCAGGTGGCACACTTGAAGTGTTGTTAAGAGGATGGAGAAACATCTGTTAGGCTTCTCTTATTTCTGGCTGTTTAATTATTTGTAGTTTTGAAGTGTTGTTCTTCTTTGCTCTTCTTGATGATATCAAAAATATGATTTTACCTTGTCATCCTATGTTTGTTGGTTTGAATCATCAAGATTGGTTCATCAGACACTTCTAAAGCAGTAGGGGCGGTGGGGTAGCCTAGTGGTTAAAGCGTTCGCTCATCACACTAAAGACCCGGGTTCGATTCCCAACATGGGTCCTGTGCACAGGGCTCAGGTCACGAATCAGTTGAAGTTAAGCAACGTCGAGCTCGGACAATCCTTGGATGGGTGACCGTGTTTGGCAGCTTGACTCCTGAGAGTTTCTAGGACTTCAGTCCTGCCCCACAATGAAGCACATGTGATACATGTGGTCTCACCTTAGGCAAGTGAGTTTGTTCAAATTGCCTCTGTTCACCCAGCAGAAAATGGGTACCCGGTTGGATAAAGTCATGTGACTATAACCTTCTAGCGCCTAACAGGCAGCTTGGGTTATCCGGGGTAATAAGAATCAGATTCTGATTAAGCGCCGCGAGCAATCACTTGGTGTTTGGAAACGTGCGCTATAGAAGATGACTTATTATTATTATTTTATACAGTGTGTGAAGCCCATTTCTGGTGTCCGCTGCTGTGATATTGATGGAATATTGCTAAAAGCGGCATAAAACTAAACTCACTCACTACTAAAGCAGTAAGAGTAATGTCTTTCTTCCACATCACTCTGTGATGAACTAAGAACCATTGGTTTCAGCAGTGGGGAAAATGTGTTGTTAAAAACTGTCACTTTATGAATGTTTTCAATTTCAAATTTTAAAGAGTTTTCTTTACATTCAAGTCAATAAAATTCTCTTCCTCTTTAGTGGACCAGTAATCAGTCATTAAAATGTTAGCCATGAAAAAGACTTAACATTAGTTATAATAATGTAAACGCGAAGATGTAAATTTTCTTATTCCTATTTTGACATTTTTACTGACATTTTGCTAACTTGGGGCTGAAGGTCGGTCTTTGAGCAAGGCAAGATAAATTTCTACTTATCAAAGTGGCATTAAGATAAACAGGCTCATTCATTTTACTCCTTACTCTTTTTTTCACTCACTCACTCATCCCCGACCGCGTCATACCAATAGGCGTTAAAATATGGTACTTGTTGGTCCCTGCCTGGCACTCGGCATTAATGGGTACAACAAGGACTGGTCAGCTCGGAGTCAGTATGTGTCTGAGTGGGGTATTCATGCTTCACTGCGGTATGGTATCTCAGTGGGCTAGCACTATAAAACCAGCTTAAGTCTGGGCTAGTACAAGCACCCGCACATACACATACACACGCATGCACGGGTCGTCATATGAGCGAAATCTTCTCAAGCATGACGTAAAACCCAATTTCACCTCACCTCACCTCAAATCAACAACCAAGCAAACTGAGTTTGGATTTGATCTGCATTAATCATTACAGTCCTTTGTATATTTAATCAAAACAGCATTCGTGACCAACTCGTGTTATTCCGGGACAAGCCGAATAGCGACTCGTGTCTTCTTGGAGTTTACGGAAAGGGGCGAGTGGTGACGAATCTCAAAACACGTCGTCATATGAGCGAAATATTCTCAAGCACGACGATAAACCCAATTTCACCTCACCTCATTCACTCGCTCACTGTCCCTCTCTCTCATTCACTCACTCACTTACACTGTGCAGGTGAAGTCGGAGGTGAACAAGCTGTACCGACTTCTGGAGATCGACATCGATGGAGTCTTCAAGTCCATGCTGTTGCTGAAGAAGAAGAAGTATGCAGCGCTGAGCGTGAGTCGGTCAGCGGACGGCAAGATCACCACGTCAGAGGAGCTGAAGGGGCTGGACATCGTCCGGCGAGACTGGTGTGACTTGTCCAAGGAGGCAGGAAGGTAAGAACATAACCAACTGTATATATAAGTCTGAGGCACGAACAGCTGGTCAAGAAGCAGAGTCATGAAGTCATGTTCATTATATTCTGTATATAAATATCCATTTGTTAGGACTGTAATCTACTGAAAATGGTACGGACAGAATCTAGTGGATTCTGCGGGCACTCGTGTACTGTTAGTAATCTTAAGAGAAATGACTTAAGTTTTATAAGGCTCAACATCCGACTTTGGTCCATGGCTTATAATAGTTTACAAAATGTTATGCTAAGTTATTAATTTATGATTAAACTTTCTTCCATGTTAGAGTTGGTTCGAAAGAATGAAAACAATATCTGTCTGGTAGAACACTATAAAACCATCTACATGATGCAGAGATGACAACCACTCCAATTTTGGCGGAGTTACTCAGATTTTCGAATACAAATCTGCTCTCTGATTTCTCTTTAAAAACTCAGATTTTTGATAAATAATTCTGAATATATTTTTACAGTATACAATTTTGTAAGTCACCGGTGATATATATGAGTGAACACTGGTACAAGCTACAAGCATTCAGAAGCTTAGCGTGTGATCCTTTGGGTGTCGATTGTGTATATTGTGTGTTATTGACGATGAAGTTTCACAAAGTATTTCCGAATGCATGTCATAGTCCGTATGAAAGTGAAACAAAATGGCAGAGCCGACTAGGCGCTCACCCCCAACTTGCACCTTTGCTGCTCAGGCCTGGCTTTCAGCCAGTCATGACTCCGTTTTCCTTAGATTCGGTTGGCATCTCTGATGAGAATGAAGGCAAGACTGAACATATTTCTTTCGTTCAGAAGATTCTTGTTTGCTCTTCAGGTTTGTTGTGAGTCAGATTCTCTCCGGAGAGACAAGAGAGACGCTTGTGGAGACGATCCACGCAAAGCTGATCGAGGTGGGAGAGAAAGTGGCCAACAACGAAATCCCTGTTGAGTTGTTCCACATCACTAAGGTAGGAATCTGGAACTATTATCAGCATGGTTACATATCAAAAGTCAACAGTATTTTTGGGATTACACTTTCTCATTGGACCGCCTCCGTGGTGTAGTGGTTAGAGCGTCTGCCCGGAGAGCGGAAGGTCGCAGGTGCGATCCCCAACTGCGTCATACCAAAAAACGTTAAAATATGGTACTTGCCTGACGCTTGGCATTAATGGGTACAACAAGGACTCGTGGGCTCGGAGTCAGTATAATGTGTCTGAGTGGGGTATTCATGCTTCACTGCGGCATGGTATCTCAGTGGGCTAGCACTATAAAACCAGCTTAAGTCTGGGCTAGTACAAGCAGCCGCACATACACATACACACGCATGCACGTCGTCATATGAGCGAAATCTTCTCAAGCATGACGTTAAACCCAATTTCACCCCACCTCACCTCACTTTCTCATTGCACTACAGATTCTAGTAATTTTGGGGGTTGTCTTCCATCCGGGATTCGAACCCACACTGTCAGAGTGAGGCACTTAATTGCCAGCACACAAGGTCATCTATCAAGCTCACTCAGCCACAGCTTCCATTAGATTATACCCATTTGTGGTGTCCCCGCCATGATATTGCTGGAGTAATGCTGATACTAATCTCCCTCACTCACTCCATTAGATTACAATAATGAGATCACAGATCAAGATGTTTTGTAATATTGATTTAACACGGCTAAATGATTGAAGTATTTTTCCCTGTAAATACTTGTTGATTAAATGGAGATTGCCTGTTCTAGCAACTGACAAAGAACCCAGAGGATTACCCAGACAAGAAGAGTCTGCCTCACGTTCAGGTGGCGCTGCGAATCAACAGCAAGGGAGGCAAGCGCATGCGGGCTGGAGACACCATCGCCTACGTCGTGTGTGAGGTAGAGCATCTTTACTTGGCTAAATACGGACTAATGAGATATTTGACCAAGATTAAGCACTTTTAGAGCACTGTTTTGTGTTAGAATTTGATAGGGTGATATTAATACAGACCGATTGTGATGGGATTTTTGAGTGAATTTATTGCCAGATTGGGAAAAGATCTATGAATAAAAAAGCTTCCAGATTCCTGTCATTAGGCCCAAAAGTCTGCAACAAATGTCACAAAGAAGTCCCACATTGGGTGGAAGTAACATTACTCATTATGCTTTTGTTATGTATAATGTTATAACTTCATCGAAATGGCACATTTCACTGATAGGAGGACCTCTATATGACCTGTAGGCTAGACCAATTTTATTTCTTGTTTTACGGATCCATCAGTTGTATTTTTCAAAGAATAAGAATAAAAATAAAAATAAATTTTCCTGTGCTAAAAATAAAATCTGAATGTTTTTATCGGCCAAAAATGTAAACTTACAAAAAACACTCTTTTTTTTAGATTGTTCTTTTGCTTCATGTACCCTTCATAAATTGCCAAAATTAAAATACTTGTAGTATTTAATAGGAATTAATATTACTTTGACTGGGTATTTAAAAAAAATAAATTCCCTCCTGCCTCTAAGTTCTCTGAGGACAAAAATCCATAAAACAAGAAATAAAATTGGTCTGGCCTTAAAAAAATATTTCAATTTGATATAGAAAATGTGATCTTTTGCTCCCAGTGGCACCAAGTTTTGTATTGTGGATACATCTGTGGACTAAATGTGTCCTGGAATGCTGGTACACATGTTGTATGTCTGACTTTATTGATTACAGGATGGGTCAAACTTGCCTCCATCTCAGCGAGCGTACCACCCTGAAGAGCTAGCAAAGGGAGACAATCTCAAAATAGGTGAGTGAGGTCATATGCTACACTTCGGCGCAGTGATGACTTAGCATGACATCACTGCCACAGGCTAATTTGCATATCATGTGACCAGACTTTTCTCGTTTGTAAACAAGCGCGCATATTCATAATAAGAAGAGACTGGTCTTAGGCAAGCTTTTCGTCGAGCTCTTCACAATATTTTACATTGTTACATATATATTCTTCCACAACTGCGACAGTAAGGTCTATGACAGTACATATTTAGATATCAAACTGGTTGCATCGTTTGCTCTCTGTTGGCTTAGATGACAGCACGTGGAGCCGTACAGCCTATGTAAACAAAGGATCGCTACGCAAATCGAAATAGTGGTACATGTTTTAGGATATTTTCTCAGTGAAACTAAACCATTCTATCAAAGATGCTTAATTAGATGTGTAGACTCATCAAAAATAAAAGAGTTAAGAAATATGTACATTATATTGAATGGATGGTGCCTGTGGCAGAGGTACCATGCTGGCTTGCCGCATGGAAGATAGTGGTCATATGCCTACAGTTAGTATGACATTCTTGTGTGAACTCGTTCGGTTAAACGTGCCCTTATATAGAGAGATTATTATACAAGTCACTACCTTAGAGAACCCCAATATCCTGTGGTGTCTATAAACTTCTGGTTATGGCATCAATTCTGGTATGATTCTTGTTCCAGCCTGTTGTCACAATAACATATAAATGGTGCAAACAATGACGTCTGGGTGATGTAAACATCACGCTGGTGAAAAGATGTTTGCACAAGTGCACATTCTTCTTCCTTTCTCTCCCTTTCTTCTCCTGAGGCCATGGGAAAGCCTAGTGGTTTAAGCGTTCGCTCGTCACGCCAAAGACCCAGGTTCGATCCACATATGGGTACAATGTGTGAAGCCCATTTCTGGTGTCACCCGCTTTGATATTGCTGGATTATTGCTAAAAGCGGCGTAAAACTATCCTCACTCACTCACTCAGCTCGCTATATGATCAGTCGTTAAAAGAAACAGTGACGGCTGATATGATTCCAGATATTTTAGACATATATATGCTGAACAACATTAGAAACGCACCACCCATATAATACGAAATATTCCCGTCAAACTGAAATGTACCCATGATATCTGAGCATCGTCGGTGCATTAGTGTGGTTCGTTTCTAATGTTGTTCAGTGTATATATGACAAAGCATCTCTACGTTGGTGAATCTGGACTGGTGATATGATTGTTTGTTTCAGACATTAAGTACTACCTGGCCCAGCAAGTACACCCTGTCGTGGCCCGACTCTGTGACCCCATCGAGGGTACCGACGCTGCCCATCTGGCTCAGTGTCTAGGTGAGGGAAAACTCGAATCCGCCCCACTTTCATGTTGTAATCAATGCTCCCTGCAAGAATCCATAACTGATTCCTTCGCAGTGCATGCTGGGAGTTTGAGTTCCCATTCACTTCCAGTACAGTGCCTAGTGGCAGAAAGGGGTGGTGGGGTAGCCTAGTGGTTAAAGCGTTTGCTTGTCACTCCGAAGACTATTTTATGTCAGTGTTTAAATATGGAACTTTGTGGTGTCGTGATGGTGGTGTATATTTCAAAGCAGAGAACGATGAAGATTTTAGATTCTTGTGTACAATTTATGTAGATTCACAAGGGATATAGCTTGTGGATATGAAGAAGATAAACATGTAGGTATCCATAGTAACCTGTCTCTTTCGCCATGGATACCAACAGGCCTTGACCCCACTGGGTACCGGCATCAGGCACAGCACCATGACAACGGCGATGATGACGCGCTGCTGGGAGGAACGCAGATGTCGGAGGAGGAACGCTACAAGGATTGCGACAGGTTCAAGGTCAAATGTCCAGCGGCCGACTGTGGAAGAGAAATTATCATGGATGGTGTTTTTCTTGGACAGGTATGTTTCTGACTTTTTATCAGAATGGTTAAAACAAATTCTTGAAAAAAAGGTGTTTTGTGTATATTTGATTTCATGAACACTGTATTTTGAATTTCAATTCATGATTTTATGTCAGAGGACAGGATTACGATGTTCTTTGTGTGTGAGGATCTGCCACATTCAACAGCTGTCACTTACTCTTCACTCACTCACCCTCCATTTCTGGGGACATGACAGCTCTTCTCACGTCACTCATTCACTCACTGTACATTTCACAGTTCACGTCACTCACTCACTCACTCACTCATTTCACAGTTCACGTCACTCACTCACTCACTCACTCACCGTACATTTCTGGTGTCAGGTCATCTCACATCCAACACTAACATAATTCACTCCTTTCTCATCTATTATCTCTTTTGTTCTTTCTAATACTGCATTCCTTTTGTTATTCCTTCTGTCACTCCACTATCAAAAGCACTCACTGCTTTCACTCACTAATTCATTTTCTCTTTGTTATTTCTATATTCACTCACTAAAACCATCCACACGTCTACTCTTTCATACACTAGATTATTTACCCCATTTTCTCAGCCCTTCGCTCACACCTGTTTGTATTCCTTCACTCATACATTTACTTACCCACCAACCTGCTCCTTCACACACACAACCACCCGCCCACTCACTCACTCACCCAACACCCACTCACTCACTCACCAGGGGTGGAAATAACCCATTGCCCGACGTCCGAGTCCAGTGTTTTTTTCTGTTGGGCAAGCAAATTTGTATATCACACTGTACCGGTGTCCAGTTGACTTTCTAATGTTATTTATGTTGTTTATTTTTAAAAATCAACAAGAAAACAGCCGGTATAGTGGAAAAATTATCAGGGCAAGTGATTTTACATGTGCCACTGTTCCGGAGTACACTAGCAATTTTTAAGTTATTTCCACCCCTGACTCACTCACTGTGTTACAGGACAGTCCCCTAGAGTGCTCGCTGTCCAAGTGCTCCAACCCCCAGTGCAAGATGGTGCCCAAGGAGTACATCCCCCAGATTCAGAACAGCCTTGTCCTGGCCATCAGGAAACACGTCAAGTCTTACTACGAGGCAAGTTCAGCTAAATACTCCCAACACATCAAAGGAACTCTGTATCTTCGTCATTGGTTCCGCCAAAGTGGCAGACGATGCACACAACTGCATCAGTAACGTTGAAAGCATTAACATGACACTGGATGTTATAACTGTTGACAGAACCTCTAGTGGTGTTTTATTTACTCAAACATGGGTTCAGTGTTAAAATGGAAAACGTTTGTGACCTGATCTCGCAACTGTTTCAGGGTTGGCTGAAGTGTGAGGATTCAGCTTGCGGAGCTCGGACACGGAAAACTCCGCTGATGTTCCAGAGAGGGCATCCGGTGTGTGGAACATGTCATAGGGGGATCCTGCAGCCCGAGGTAACAAACTCATGATTAATATGTCTTCCTAGTCCATTAGATATACAGCGGACTCACTGCAGTCAAATGTCAGGAACCAGTCTTCTGTTCAGATTAAATATACAGCGGACTCACTGCAGTCAAATGTAAGGAACCAGTCGTCTGTTCAGATTAAATATACAGAGGACTCGGTCTCATCAATCTGTAATGTTTAATACAGATCTAACCCAAACTCAGTTTGCTTGGTTGTTGATTTGAATGATTACACAATGATTTGTGGAAGTTGTGTGGCTGAGCGGGTTAGGCTTCTGACTTTATGTGCTGGGGATTTGGTGCCTGACTGACTCAACCCAACAAAAGTACTAGAATCTGTACTTTACTAAGAAAGTATTATCCCAAATATAACATATGTTTCATGTTGATTTGAAGTTGATGGACACATAAAAGTATCAGCTAAGTTTGTGGTAAGATTGATATAGATGGAGATGGAAACTAATTTTGACTGTTGACTTCAGGCTGGTGAGGTACCAGGTATCAGGGATTTATCCAGACCAGCTCAGAGTTTCTTATTTGACTGGATCAGGTCCCTGATTCCTAAACCAATTCCTTCTCTCATTCCTTAACCAATTCATTCTCACATTCCTTATTGATTCCTTCTCTCATTCCTTACCGATTCCTTCTCTCATTCCTTACCGATTCCTTCTCGCATTCCTTATTGATTCCTTCTCTCATTCCTTACCGATTCCTTCTCTCATTCCTTACCGATTCCTTATTGCATTCCTTCTCTCATTCCTTATTGATTCCTTCTCTCATTCCTTACCGATTCCTTCTCTCATTCCTTACCCATTCCTTCTCGCATTCCTTATTGATTCCTTCTCTCATTCCTTACCCATTCCTTCTTGCATTCCTTACTGAATCCTTCTCTCATTCCTTACCGGTTCCTTATTTCAGTTCACAGACTCTGCACTGTACACACAGCTGTGTTACTACCAGTTCATGTTCGACACGGAGAAGGCCATCTCACTCCTGCCTGATTCAAGTAAGTTGTATTCGCGGTACAGGCACACAGGCACTGAAGTGATGCAACATTTGAAAAATGCTTCCTCAACTATTTTGCCTTTTTTGGTCTCACCGCTTGATTTTGTGATTCAAAAGTTTGGAAAAAGATGAAAAGTCCTGTTTTCATTCTTATGAACTCATCTCAATGTTTTTCTGATTTCTGATTTCTGATTCTATCGAACCAAGGGGGCACTACTTATACAACAACTGAAATTTACAATTTGATATGATAATAAAAATCATAATAATCTCAATGATAAGTTTAAGAATATTCATTAAAATCTATTTCTTCTGACTAAGGTCTTATGTCTGTGTAAGGTTTACGTATGCAAGTAGGCATTGTATTCATGTATGGCGTCATTGGCACATTTATTGGAATGTGATACCAAATTTATTACCATGATAACACTATATGATAAGTGTAACTTTTAACTTCAGAGCCTGGCATGAAGAACGCCCGAGGGGAGAATGCAGTGGGGTTGTACAAGCCGTCCTACAAAACGCTGAAGGACACTGTTGGCAGCTGGCTCAGATCTAACGCATACGCTGAAGTCAATCTTACAAAACTTTTTGATGGTCTGTTCGTCCTCAAATGAAATAAAAACTCGGGGAATGAAATTTGGTTATGATGACAAGACTTGGACACTCAGCTCAAGCAACTGTTGCCCCAGAAATGAAGTATTTGAAGATGATCCCGAGGAGGATGAACATGTTGGAGCTCACTTGTTGAAAGAGACAATTGCATTATAGATATGTAATTTATGCATTGAAGTGCTTGATACAGATTGTGTGTACATAGATTGAACTGTATATAGACTGTTGATCCGTGAGATCTGAATATGTCCACTGAAGGACTTCCTTTCAATGGGGTAGAACAGTAGTTAAAGTGTTTGCTTGTTCGGACGAACAACTGGGTTTGATATCCATGTGTTAATTTGGGTCTAAGTGTGTCATTTGTATATTACAAAGGGCAGCATCGAAGTTTCCTCAGGGATTTCTAGGAGAGAAAAGGTCCCAAATATATCGTCAATGTTAGACATTCTTGATCTAAGGTCAAGGTTGGACATCCTTGATCTAAGGTCAAGGTTGACATCCTTGATGTAAGGTCAATGTTTGACATCCTTGATCTAAGGTCAAGGTTGGACATCCTTGATATAAGGTCAAGGTTGGACATCCTTCATGCAAGGTCAAGGTTGACATCCTTGATGTAAGGTCACGGTTGAATGTCCTTGATGTAAGGTCACGGTTGGATGTCCTTGATGTAAGATCATGGCTGGACGTCCTTGATCCAAGGTCAAGGTTGGATGTCCTTGATGTAGGGTCACGGTTGGACGTCCTTGATCGATTGTCAAGGTTAGATTGACATTAATGCATGTGAGTAATCAAGTCAACCAGATACAGTAGTATTTGATAGCAAGAGCATACAATGATGCCCAATCCTGACATGTCTCTTCTTTGGACAACTTTGCTACATGGGATCGTCATAGGATAAGGGAAGATATTTGCACCTGTTCAATCAAATCTTTCCAATGGAGGCTATGAAAATAAGGGACATTCTCAGAGGTTGGGCTAGCCAATCAATGAGGCCATAGAAACATGCTCTCCAGGAATATGTTATTGTCTCTCCGCCTTTGTTGTTACAATCTGTAAAGTCCATTTCAGGAGGTGTGGTAGCCAGGTGATTAAAGCGTTTGCTCATCATTCCCCACGTGGGTACATTGTGTGAAGCCTATTTCTGGGTTCCCTTGCCGTGTTTTTGCTGGAATATTGCTTAAGCGGAGTAAACCTAAACTCACTCATGTCAGGAGTCACTTACTGTGATTGGACTAGAGTACCATTTAATCTTTCAGGGGTGGTGGGGTAGCCTAGTGGTTAAAGCGTTCGCTCGTCACTCCGAAGACCCAGGTTCCATTCCCCATATGGGTACAATGCGTGAAGCCCATTTCTGGTGTCCTCTGCCGTGATATTGCTGGAATATTGCTAAAAGCGGTGTAAAACCATACTCACTCACTCACTTAATCTTTCATAAAACAATATTCACTCATCTTGAAGTCTGCCTACCCAGACCACATTTGTACATTTGCATGTAAATAAATTCTATTTTATAGGCCATTAAATTTATGTTTGCATTTCATGTGAAGCCCTCATTTGCAGCTATGAGATTTTGTAGATAAGAATATAGATCAATCATTGCTTATTACATAGGCCATTCACTTCTTATTAATATATATACTGTACATCTTAGGTCACACAGGGGCGGTGGGGTAGACTAGTGATTAAAGAGTTCACTCGTCTTGCCAAAGACCCGGGTACAATGTGTAAAGCCCATTTCTGGTGTCCCCACCGTGATATTGCTGGAATATTGATAAAAGCGGCATAAAACTTAACTCACTCACTCACTCTTGGGTTCCACTGTTTTGTTTGTGCTGTAGTATTTGCTGGAAATATTCTGTATGTGTTGATATATGTTTGTATGTCATTGATGTGATGGAAGTTAGTAGAGCTGTGACGATATATCGTAGTATTGATATATAATCGTGATACTCTTTCTGACAATAAATATATCGATACTTTTTTTCGTATCTTGATATGTATCGATGACCTAAAAATTGTGAATTTTCACTAGAAATTGACGGTTATGTCAAAATTTACACTGTTACTTGTTATCAAAATACACTTTCAAAAAGAAAATAACTAAAGATAGCATATCATGACGCGCATCGTATTGAATCGTATCGTTCCACGATATCGCGATTCGTATCGTATCTTGAAATTTCTGTATCGTCACACCTCTAGAAGTTAGTTGGAAAATTGCTAAAAGTTCACAAACTAAACAAAACAAAAACTTGGTATCTGGGTTTTTTTTATGTATGTTCTGTCAATTTCAATTACATTTTCTTTATGAACTGCTGATATTGTATAGAAATTAATTTAATGTTTAATAAGAAAATAGAATCATGCTATGTTAAACAACAACACAGCAAAACCCGGGCAGGGGGTAGCTCAGTTGTTAAAGGGTCTGCCTGTCACGGGAAGGCCTGGATTCGATTCCCCACATTGATAGGTCGGGTGAAGCCAGGGTAAACTTGCTGGAATATTGCTAAACATGCATTAAAACCATACTATTATCAAGAACCACTATTTCAGTATGTCATGTATCCTGTATGTATATACATAAATTACTTTAAAACATGGAAATAAATAATTAAGACAGAATTCTGGTTTTGTTGTGTTCTCAGTTTGAAGAGTCCATGGAAGTGTAATTCAGGATAAATCTGTGTTCAGGTTGAGCTGGAGGTGGCTCGGCTGTGTTAGGGCTATCAGTCAAGACTTGGTGATATTTATAGCTTGTTTGCAGTGAAAACGTACCAATGAATTTCACTTTAAACAAAAAAGTAACTCGAGTAAAGTTCAATTAAGATTGCGAATCCTCATAATTTTACCTTGCCAATTGAACATTTAAATCTCAGAATTTTATTCAACCTAGGATAAAAGTTGTTTAACAAACGATCATAGTTTCAAATCGCTATTATTGGTTTGTATTACAAGGGGGTATGTACATAAAATGAAACACTGAGAACAAGTAGGGTTGGTACGTTTACTGCGCTTACCCCTTGTAATCGATAATAGCGATTTCAAACTATGATCGTTTGTTAAACAACTTTTATCCTAGGTTGAATAAAATTCTGAGATTTAAATGTTCAACTGGAAAGGAAAAATTATGAAGATTCGCAATCTTAATTTCACTTTACTCGATTTACTTTTTAGTTTAAAGTGAAATTAATCGGTACGTTTTCACTGCAAACAGACTATAGTTTGATACCCAATTTCCCCATGTGTCCAGTGGTTTATTGATGATGTGGACAAAGTAGTGAACGTTCAGGTCGGTTGGATGTTTAACACCACACTTGTGTAATCATTGTGCAATCATTCAAATCAACAACCGACCGCCTCCGTGGTGTAGTGGTTAGAGCGTCCACCCGGAGAGCGGAAGGTCGCGGGTTCGATCCCCGATCGCGTCATACCAAAAGACGTTAAAATATGGTACTTGTTGGTCCCTGCCTGGCGCTCGACATTAATGGGTACAACAAGGACTGGTCGGCTCGGAGTTAGTATAATGTGTCTGAGTGGGGTATTCCTGCTTCACTGCGGCGTGGTATGTCAGTGGGGTAGCACTATAAAACCAGCTTAAGTCTGGGCTAGTACAAGCAGCCGCACATACACATACACACGCATGCACTCGTCGTCATATGAGCGAAATATTCTCAAGCACGACGTAAAACCCAATTTCACCTCACCTCACCTCAAATCAACAACCAAGCAAACTGAGTTTGGATTTGATCTGTATTAAACATTACAGTCCTTTGTACATTTAATCAAAACAGCATTCGTGACCAACTCGTGTTATTCCGGGACAAGCCGAATAGCAACTCGTGTCTTCTTGGAGTTTACGGAAAGGGGCGAGTGGTGACGAATCTCAAAACAGAAGACATATGACTGCAGTGAGTCCGCTGTATATTTAATGGATTTGGAGTGGGTGAGTGAGTTTAGTTTTACGCCGCACTCGGCAATGTTCCCGCTATATGGCGTCGGTCTGTAAATAATCGAGTCTGGACCAGACAACCCAGTGATCAAATGCAAGAGCGTCCATCTACGCCATTGGGATACAATGACATGTGTCAACCAAGTCAGCGAGCCTGACCACCCGATCCGGTTTGTCGCCTCCTTTTGACAAGCATGGGTTACTGAAGATCAATTCGAACCTGGATCTTCACGGGTTGAAATGGAATAACTGTGAGAAGAAAGCGTGTGACACAGGGCAGTGTCGAACACTGATTGCATGACACTACAAGTGATAACAGATCATTGTATTGTGTGTCAGTATCTCGGTCTTCGATACCCACGTCCCGATAGGAATCAGATCACTGTCGACATACGCCTGAACTGTGGACGGATAGTGGTAGGATTTGCGTGTGCGCGTGCGTATCCTTCATTGTTCGGGCGGTTTGGTAGCCTAGTGGTTAAAGCGTTCGCTCGTTACGCCGAAGACCCGGGTTCGATTCCCCACAGGGGTTCATTGTGTGAAGCCCATTTCTGGTGTCCCCAGCCGTAACATTGCTTGAATATTGCTAAAAGCGGCATAAAAACCACTCACTCTCTCCTTCATTGTTCAGTTAATGCTGTGCAAGGGTGGCCCAGTCGCAAGGGCTGGAATTTCGCTGTACAGAGTTGTCTACCCTGGGCGTGCCAGGACATTATGACCTGATTTTGTTTCTCGGTTTGTCATCACCATCCACATGGTTGTTTGTTTGCAATTTTCAACCTGTATGGAAGCGCCATACGCTCACGTCATATCTGAGACCCGCATCACTTTGGGCTTTCCTGCCTCGTCAATAAATAACACAGAATAACACAGAATAACAGAAACACAGCTCATAGCGGCAGAAAACGAAAAACACTAACTCCAACGCCACGCAATGATTGACAGACTCAAGTTATAGGGTGAGTGAATGAGTTTAGTTTTACGCCGCTCTTAGCAATATTCCACCAATATCACGGCGGGGGGACACCAAGTGGGAATCGAACCCGGGACTTCGGCGTGACGAGCGAAAGGTTTAACCCCTAGGCTACCCACCGCCCCCAAGTTATAGGGACTTAAGTAAATATTTCGACATCTAAGTTTAAAGAGTTCGACTAGTCAAAGTTCGAGCTATCCGATGTTAGAAACAACCGCAAACGGTAACTGTAGAAGGAACGCGCGGGGACCAATACTTCGAGACAACCGTACGTTCGACAGATTGGTGTTTCAAAGTGTACTGCACTACCGCTATAAAATGTCCTTATCCTTGTATTGAAAACCTATGGAATCCTGGAAGGGACATTGTCGCATTGTCGCCAGTGTATGAAATAGGGACCGCCCGAGCGCCCGAGACGGTTAGATTTCAGACGGACGGTTTAGTTTTACATCTAGCCAGCCTGATGGTCTGGTAAGTATTGAATCATAACTTGGTGTCTGGTCTGGTTAAATCCATTTTGGACTGGTAACATTTCAAAGTTGCCAGCCCTGATGTCTGGCTGGGGTTTGGGCATATTTCATACACTGTTGTCGCCCTTACAGAAACAAGCAAAAGCTGTCAAAAGGTCGACCAATGCGACAATGTCCCTTTTGGATTCCATACATACTCGATACCAATCACCAAATCTGTTCATCAAACCCTGTCAGACGCGTGACCGGGCACCCAGTCACAATCAGATGCATCTAAAACAGTGAACGTAGAGCCTGGATCTGATTCCACTACACGCTCAAGCTAGCCCTGCTTGTACAACGCGAGGTTTTCCCTTACTGACGTGACAATCTGTGTAAAGCTTCCCGAAAAGGCAATTCTGAGAAAACATGTATAAAAGGCTAGTTGGAATTATGTGTTTGATCATGAAAAGAAACCAGACAGTGTCGCTGTCTCTCGCCACAACCATTATCGTTTACTTGTTTGTGAAACGGGTATCAGAAGTTTGGAAGGACACCGAGATTAGTGCTCGTCCCAATGACGATGGACTGGGTTTTCTACGTCGCGCCGCACAGAATATTAGCTCACCCCAAGAAGATGAGAGTACGAATGATGATCCGTGCGTGTTCTATTTAATGGAACATGTCGACTCTTCTGTCGCGTGCATGGACCAGGAATGGTTATGTGACGAATATGCGGATTCCAGTGACATCATTTGCAAGTGGTACAAGTCTCAGACTCAGAACCTAGTTGCCGACAATTGTCTTTTGCCAAACGCTACTGAGCTCGGATTCCAAAATGGCGGCTATCCTGTTCCAAGGATTGTTTACTACGTGGCCTTTGGTCTCAGTCGACTTTCTTTCATTCAGTATTTGAGTTTGCTGAGTGCTAAGAGGTTTATCAAGCCATGGGCTATGTACGTTGTCGGTGACGTGCACCTGACGGGGGCGTGGTGGCAGACGGCGACGACGGACCTGGGGGTGAGGTTTATCCAGAGGGAAAGGCCAGAGTGGCTTGCGGACATGAAAATAGCCTCCACTGAACTGGCTGGGCACCTCATCAGACTGCAGCTTCTCATGGGTGAGCATGTGTGATCATTTATCCGTCAGTTCATCCGTCAGTTCAGATCAGTTCAGTTCAGTTCAGTTCAGTTCAGTTCAGAGAGAGAGAGAGAGAGAGAGAGAGAGAGAGAGAGAGAGAGAGAGAGAGAGAGAGAGAGAGAGAGAGAGAGAGAGAGAGAGAGAGAGAGAGAGAGAGAGAGAGCACTTAAACGTCAGTTGATGTATGGATGTGTGTAATCACGCAGAGGTAAGATCAGGTGTGGCCGGTTATACGCGAGTCCACGTGTGAATTTGTGTGAATTCAAATCACATGTCTTTGTGTGTAATCACTTATAATTTAATGTGTGTGTGTGGCGTGCGCGCATGTGCGTGTGTGTGTGAGAAAGAGAAGGGGAGAGAGCGAGTTCACTTGTGATCACTACAGTTCATGTCTTTAACCCCCACCGCCCCAAGAATACAATGTATTAAATACATCTGTATGAAAGAGTGTCTGCAACTGAAGCAAAGAGTATGTGCAACTCAACCGAAGTGATTGTGCAACGTATCTGAAGTTATTGTGCAACTCTTCTCCATCTCTAAATTATACATGTGGATGAGGGTACACGGACCAGTAACAACCGAGGCCTTTCAGTACCATAAGATTCTCCTGGTTTGCTATTACAGCCTAATACCCGCATTTAAACAAATTCTCCTCACTGCAACACACGTCTGACTATCAAAATGATTACTCCATGAAACACTATTTTCAGTTAATGGCGGAATCTACCTTGACCTTGACATGCTGCTCCTTCGTCCTCTTGACCCATTGCTGCGTTATGACGTCACTCTTGGTCACCATGACAACGACAGGGGGTTGAATAATGCAGTCATATTAGCCAAAAAACACGCTCCATTCATAGAGAAATGGTACACCAACTACAACGACTTCAACGATGACGACTTCACTACATTGTCGGAGATAACCCTTCGACAGTTGTCGAATGAGCATCCTTCGTCCGTTCACATGGAAACAAGGAACTTCCTCTTCCCAGACAAGGCCCAGATGCGGGTACTGAGTATAAACCATTCTTACGACTGGCGAGGGAATTATGGAATACATCTACCGTGGCACCGAGAATTTCGACTGCCTACCAATCCGGATGGCATTAACAAGATGAGGAACTGCACTCTCCGACAGATCCTGAAGTATGTTCACAGTGAAAAGGGCGTCGTCCTTTCAAGCCCTTGATAAACCGAATATATTTCATATATAATTATCTTGTGTAGCTTTGCACTTTCAGATGTATTTTCCGTAGGATAAGCAGTGACGCTCATGAACACTGCCCCAAGAAGATACTGGATAGAATTGGTCTTCAACCCACATTTGTCGTAAGAACCACACTACTTTATCTTCCGCCTATAGTCTGTTTGCAGTGAAAACGTACAGACGAATTTCACTTTAAACAAAAAAGTCAATCAAATAAAGTGAAATTAAGATTGCGAATCCTCATAATTTTACCTTGCCATTTGAAAATTTAGATCTCAGAATTTTATTCAACTTGGGATGAAAGTTGTTTAACAAACGATCATAGTTTCAAATCGGTATTATTGGTTTGTAATTACAAGGGGGTATGCACATAAAATGAAACACCGAGATCAAGTAGGGTTGGTCTAAGTTAACGCTCACCACGTACCGCACGTGCATTTGTTTCACTGTTCCAACTACTGCGCTTACCCCCTTGTAATACAAACCAATATAAGCGATTTGAAACTATGATCGTTTGTTAAACAACTTTTTCCATAAGTTGAATAAATATCTAAGATTTAAATGTTCAATTGGCAAGGTAGAATTATTAGGATTCGCAATCTTATTTTCACTTTATTCGATTTACATTTTTGTTTAAAGTGCAATTCACCTGTACGTTTTCACTGCAAACAGACTATAGCCATTTCTGATATGCTAAAGCCCTAAATGAAGCAGGGCTAGATTTCCTCAAGTATTCCATCTCAAGGGGCTCCTTTTCAATTTAAATGGAATTATTTGTTTCTATGAAAATTATGTATATTCACAGACTAAACGTTTGTTTAGTCGAAAGAGGCAAATAGGGGAATCCGGTGGCCAGACTCTCTGATTTCCTTGGATCGATGCTCATGATGTTAATCACTGGATTGTCTCTACGAGGCACGATGTTTTACATAATGGTATTTCATACATCAGATATTGCTTAGTGTGGACTGACAAAAGCGACAAAGAAACACACTCCCTGTTTTGTCGTGTTTGAAAAAATGTATTCGAAGCCTTCGTAAAATATTGACAATTTCGATTGAAAATTTGGTTGAAAGTGTGGGATAGTCTGAACTGTTTCATAACAAAATCACAGCCTGCCAGCAGAATGTAGGAGGAAAGCCCGAATGTACAAGTCTTCGAGTGCACAACTTCGGTGAGACTGAAAACCCAGCCTCTGAATCTGGGACTCGAACCCTCGATAGTACACTAGCGTGATAACCTGGACCACTGACTACTCACAGCACTGGCGGGGTCCAGAGGTGGTGGTGGTGGTGGGTGGGGTGGTGTGTGTGTGTGTGGTTCGAACCCACCCCTTTGAAAATGACTTAAGACCACATTGAAGATTTTTTTTTGCGTTGGCGGAGCCAAGGGGGTGTGTGGGGTGTGTGTGTGTGTTTGTTTCAGGGGATTCGAAACACTGATCATAATCGAAACATCAGACCAACTCTGTGATTTTTTTCGCAGAATTTTTATACTCAAAATAAAAAAGTTGTTTAACAAACAATCTTTCAAATTTTGACACAGTACACTATTTGTTACGAGGGAGGACTGCAAAGAGAGGAACAGCCAGGTGTACGCGGAGCACGTGCACAAGTGCTGACAAAAATATTGAATCATTTACCTGTGCTGTGCTGTCTCCATCCTTTCCCGCACACCTGCACATATGCACATATGTATGTATGTAGGTAGGTACCAGGTAGGTGTGTGTGTGTGCGTGCGTGCGTGCGTGCGTGTGTTATGTGTGTGTGTGTATGTATACACGAGAGACTGCAAATAACGAAATAGTGGTTCTTTATTTATATGAGTATTGTTTTAATCCATGTTTAGCGATATTCCAGCAATTGTACCCTGACTTCACCCGACCTATCAATGTGGGAAATCGAACCCAGGCCTTCTCTTCACACGTAGAGTAACTTAGTAAGGCAGACCCTTCAACTACTGGGCTACCCCGCCCTATTCTCGTTATGTTGTTAAACAAACGAATGAGTGAGTGACTAAGGTTTTACGCCGCTTTTAGCAATATTCCGGCAATATCACGGCAGGGGACACCAGAAATGGGCTTCACACATTGTACCCATGTGGGAAATGGAACCCAGGTCGATTTAACCACTACGCTACCCTACCACCCCCATAAACGAATGAATTCTGTTTTCTTATTAAACATTAAATTTATTTATTTATTTATTTATTTAGTGCCAATATCCAGATCACCTGCTCAAAGGTAATTGTATTAGATTGTTTAAAATAAACGAAGGAATCCTATTCATGATGTTGATCACTGGGTTGTCTGGTCCAGACTCGATTATTTACAGACCGCCGCCATATAGCTGGAATCAAGAATGTATCTAAACATTTAATTTCATGACAGACCTACCATGCGTTGTTTGATTCCAACTGTAGCGGTATTATACAGCTCTCTTTGTGAAATAGATAATCGTATTTGTCCGTTACACGATGTTGGCATGGAACTGACGTATTTTCAGCGTAAATATGTGGGTACCACACTTAGAGGTTGAACATCTCAACATATGTATGTACCCAAGGAACGCACTGTGGCTTCTGTTGAATTGCTGTGTTTGATCGGTGGTTGGTGTAAAAAGCAGCGTTATTTATTTCCATTTTTTCCGTAATGCTTGAATACAGCTTTGTGGGAAGAAATAACATATTTACGTTTATTTTATGTCCGTTTGGAATAGGTAGGTCCGATAACCATGTCAAAAATTCACACGCCTTAGAGTTCTCATTTCTCTTACCTTTGACCCCGTGAAAAACAGATCCCCTATGTCCCATAGCTATATTGTACTGACTGACTGAGTTTGGTTTTACGCCGCTTTCAGCAATATTCCAGCAACATCACGGCGGGGGACACCAGAAATGGGCTTAACACATTGTACCCATGTGGGGATTCGAACCCGGGTCTTCGGCGTGACGAGCCAACGCTTTAACCACTGGGCTACCCCACCGCCCCAGCTATCTTGTAAAGAGGACTGGAGGATTTTACATTTACGCGTGGACCTTGTTTCTTGATATCAGCCACCCGTTTGACTTGTCTAGACTCGAATAGTTACAGACCAAAGTCATAGAGGTGAGGTGAGGTGAAATTGGGCTTTAACGTCGTGCTTGAGAATATTTCGCTCATATGACGACGTCCAAAGTCATAGAGGTTGAATACAGTTGAGTGCTGACTTGAATAACACGCATCCGAAATAGGTGTTCTGACCTCTACAATTCATATGTCAGTAGCATTTTCAAATTCATACAGAACGGGCGTTTGTGACTGTGTTATTCCTCTGACGAAACGGTAACATAGCAGCATCATTAACCTGACATACGGTTCGCGTAACAGGGATACAAATTTAATGTGACGTAAAATTGGTATGCATCCCATAATCCTTTTCATCTGACAACCATGGAAGAGTGTTATTCGACTGATATGAAAGCCACGTTACTGTGTTATTCAATCTGACATGACAACAATGTAACAGTCTATTCACCTACGTAATAAAAATGTAACTGACCACGTGTTATGTTATTACCTGACATAACAACAATGTGACAGCGTTATTCACCTGTCGTAATAAAAATGTAAGAACCATGTAACAGTGTTATTCACCTGACGTAACAACCATGTAACAATGTTATTCACCTGATATAACAACCATGTAACAACATTCACCTGATATAACAACCATGACAGTGTTATTCACCCGAGCACAACCATGTAACAGTGTTATTCACCTGATAAATAACAACCATGTCAACCAATGTAACAAATCACAACCAGTAGTTATTCACCTGACGTAGTGTTATTCAATTGATATAACAACCATGTAACAGTGTTATTCACCTGATATACCGTCAAATAACAGTGTTATTCACCTGATATAATAACATGTGTTATTCACCTGACATCACAACTATGTAACACTGTTACAGTGATATTATTCAGCAAGTTATTCACTTGACATAATAACCATGTAATATGTTATTCACCTGATATAGCAACAATGTAACAGTGTTATTCACCTGACATAAAAACAAATGTAACAGCGTTATTCACCTGACATAACAACAGTATACAGTGGTATTGTAGCAACAGTGATATTCACCTGACGTAACAGTGTTAAAAATGTAACAGTGTTATTCACCTGACATAACAACAATGTAACAGATATAACAAGTTATTCACCTGACATAACAACCGTGTAACAGTGTTATTCAATTCGATATAACAACAGTGTAACAGTGTTATTCACCTGACAACCACGTAACAAATTCAGTATAACAAATGTAAAAGTGTTATCAACGGACATAACCTGATATTCACCTGACATAACAACAATGTAACAGTGTTATTCAACCTGATATAACAACCATGTAACAGTGTTATTCAACCTGATATAACAAACATGCATAACAGTGTTATTCACCTGATATAACAACAATGTAACAGTGTTATTCAACCCGTGTAACAGTGTTATTCATGAATAACAAATGTAACAGTGTTATTCACCTGATATAACAACCATGTAACAGTGTTATTCAGTTATTCACTTGATATAACAACCATGTAACAGTGTTATATGATATGCACAACCATGTAACAGTGTTATTCAATTGATATAACAACCATGTAACAGTGTTATTCACCTGATATAACAACCATGCAACAGTGTTATTCACCGGACATAACAAACCATGTAACAGTGTTATTCACCTGACATAACACAGTATAACAGTGTTATTCAATTCGACATAACAACCATGTAACAGTGTTATTCACCTATAACATCAATATAACAACCATGTAACAGTGTTATTTATTAATCAATGTGATATAACACCATGTAACAGTGTTATTCATCTGACATAACAACCATGTATATCAGTGTTATTCACCGGACATAGCAACAATGTAACAGTGTTATTCACCTGACATAACAACCATGTAACAGTGTTATTCACCTGATATAACCATGTAACAGTGTTATTCAATTCTGATATAACAACCATGTAACAGTGTTATTCACCTGATATAACAACCATGTAACAGTGTTATTCACCTGACATAACAACCATGTAACAGTGTTATTCACCGGACACCTTTATAACAGTGCAACCATGTAACAGTGTTATTCACCTGACATAAGCAAAATGTAAC